AAGGCCAAAAATCTCAGGTGCCATTCCTCAGTCCCTGTATACCTTGTTTGTTGAAAGAAGGTCTGGCTGGCTTGGAGATTGCTGATAAGGCTAGGATGGCTCTAGAGCTCCAGGAGCTGCTGTCTCCACTTTGCCAGTGCTGAGTTTACAAGCACGAGCCACCACACCCAGATTATTGTTATGTGAGTTCTGGAGATCAAACCGAGGTCCTCCTGCTAGTAAGGCTTTACTGACTGGTCTATCTTCCCAGCTCCCATGTTCTCTTTTTAAGGAAAGTCCCACCTCAAAAGCGAGATTCTTGCTTATTCCACCAGAGAAAGATGGGATTGAGTTTATAGGGCCAATAGTTTTTCCCTGACATAGGATTTCTCCAAGTCAAAGACTGAAGGAGATTTCTTTCCTTCCATCAGAACATGTTAGCTGGCCCTGCTTTAGCTGCATAAAGGCTATCAAACATTGCCCTGGAAAGTGAACATTCCTGTCCTGCAAAGGGTCCCGTGCTCTTCTGGTAGACAAGCCATGCTATTTCCTGAAAGCCTCTGACCTCTGACCATTGGGCCAGAGACCAATGGGCCTCTGACCATTCTCTGAAGAACCAAGAAACCTTGTCTTCCCAACACTTGTGTGTCAGGGGTCACTTGGTGAGCCGCCCAGCTATAATTACAACATGTCATCATATCACAGGGAAGATTATGTGCTAAGTCTTATTTTTTTACCATATCTAATTAGACTTCATGAAATCCTAAAAAGTAGAAAAAGACAATGTTTATCTCATTTTAGACATGAGACAACAGCTCAGGGTATTACAAGGTCATACACAGAGTAAGTAATTGAGTCATTAATACAACTCAGGTCTCCTAATATTAATTCAACGTCAGTTAATATTAGTGGGGCATCTTTGTGTGCATGTGACATTAGGTTCCCAACCCTGTCACCTTTGCCTGGAGCATGTGGTCTGTGTATGTATAAGCACTACTGTTTGGAAGTTGTTTTTGAGTTTTACACAAAGACAACAAGTAGACTCCAAGGCTACCCATGGAATACCCTCAGCTAAGCCTTTGACCTCAACTATGGCAGCAATTCACGGATGCCAAAAACTCTCTCAAGCCAAACGTTGAGGCCCTTGTCAGGTGTCACCGACCTGCCCTGCAATTCCTCATTCCCGTTCTTGTCATCACCATCACTCCCCTGCCAAATGAAGCCTGCCCGTCATCTGCACACTAGATCTGTCCACAGGCTTCATTAACTCTGTCCCCATACATTCTTCCTGTCTCATCCCCACTGATCTCATCCTGGGGAAACCCTTCCCCTGGAACCATAGTAGCAGTGGGCCAGCAGTTAGCCTCACTTACTCTCCTACGCCTTATAGAATATGGTCCACTGTGAAGCCAGTAGATCTGTTCATGCCATTCCTCACCTGACAGGCTCTCCATGAATGGCTCCAATGCTCACATGCTTGCCCTGATTCCCTGTGTCTGATCACCTCTTGTGCCACATGTCCTCACATGGCCTCTGCTCTGGGAAAATCATTTCTCTCAGTTCCTGGGCAAGGTTACGTCCGTTGCCACCACAGGCTCCAAAGTTACTTTCCCTTCTACCTGGAGTAGTCTCTCCCTCCATCAACTCTCGCTTCCCGACAAGGGTCCTTCTGACAGTCCTGCCACTGTCACTTTTAAACTGTCATCCTTTTAAAAATATTTTATTATTTTTATTTTATGTGCACGAGTGTATTGCCTTCGTGCATGTAAGTGCACCTGTGTTGTACAATGCCTATGGAGGTCAGAAGAGGGTGTTGGATTCTCTGGAACTGGAGTTACTGTTGGTTGTTAGCCACCATGTGGGTGCTGGGAATTTGAACCCAGGTCCTCTGAAAGGGCAGTCAGTGCTCTTAACTGCTGAGCCATCTCTCCAGCCCCAGAACTGTCATCCTTTTAAACTACAATTTTTGTCTTTTCTATTAATATTTGACATTTTATTATGAATAATAATTTGTCTGTCTTCCCCACAAGAAAGTAACTCTAGAAGAAGAATTTGTTTATCTGCGTTATGGAGTTTGGGGGGCATGGGAGGTGCTCATCTTCTCAAAGGAAAGAATTCAATAGAGAAAAACAGATTAAGGACAAATTAAAAGCAAGCACTTCAAAGAGAGATTGGAGTGGGCTGTTCCCAATGAGGTAGCAGCAAGTGGGGTCTGTGTTGTCCATTTTGAAGAAGTTTTGTGAATATTTATGGGGTAAAGTGACCCTTTTTCCCTCTAAAGTCATGGTAGACTTATCTTCCTTTTAGGGTATTTCTTCCCATGATCCTCTAGAAAAGCCCACAAGGACTGTCAAAACTATAATACAAATGAAAATATAATGATTCTGAGGACTTTGGAGGATGTAGAGCCTTCACTATGTGTAGAGCCTTAGTTTTCGATAGAATAGGAGAAACTCACGAGCCACAAAGGCATTTAACCACAAGGGGCATGCTGACCCTCAGGCAGCAAGGCTACCAAGAGAGAGCTGAGTGTGTAGGGTGGGCAGGTGCATGTTCATATACGTGTGTGTGTGTGTGTGTGTGTGTGTGTGTGTAGAGGCCAAAGGTCAACCTTGGTATCACCCCTTGGGGGACATTCATCTTGTTTTTTGAGACAAGGTCAAGGTCTCCTATTGACCTGGGGCTCACCAAGCAGGCTGTTATCTGGCCAGTGAGCCCCAGGAATTCACCTTTTACCACCTCCCCAGTTCTGGGGTTGGAAGCACAAGCCCTACACAATTGGCTTTTTTATGTAGATTCAGGGGATCAAGTCAGGCCTTATGGTTGCATGGGGCACTTTACCAAGGGCACCATCTCTCCAGAGCTGAGTTGAGGTATTCTTGGTTGTTCAAACGTAACTCCTCAGGCTCCATGAGCTGTTGGTTGGTTAAGAAAAACTGAGGCTTATTGATGAAAGTTGGGGCCAAGGTTTTACAATACCCTGTCATGTTGAACATACAAGAGCAGGACTCCGGCTGTGTTCTAGGACTCCTTTCTCTGAGCTCCATCATCCATGTCTGTCTGCTGCCTGTCATCTGATTGGCACTATCTTTCTAGGTGTCCCAGTGCCTGCCACATAGCAAGTACCAGGAAATATGTGTTCAGTGAGTTTATCTCAGGTAGAAGCTTCCAAAAAGATTTAAAGGGCTAGGTTTAAATAAACCTTTAAAGAGCCATTGCCTGTCTCCCTTTTAGGTGGCTGTGTAAAATCAAAGAGGTTGTAGCTTTCTGTCGTTCACCTGCAGTTAGAGCAACCCTCGACTACAAGTGAATAAACACATGCACATACACACACATATCCACAGACGGAAGGGCGGGGCCTTAACATATTCTGCCTTATCTAGGAATTAGGGACCTGAGTTGCAGTCCCAGGCTTGTGCCATGTAGCCAGAATCATGTCCTTTTTCTGTGGTGCACTGAGGCAAGCCCTAGGTACCTTGGACTTCATAAGCTTGGGTTGCATCTTGGCTCCTTGTCAGCCTTGATTTGGGTCTTATTCTTGGCTTATCATGTCTTCCTCAAAGCAGCCTGCCTGACCTCTGCCTTCTGAGACTTGGGGTGAATTGTTACGGTGGTACTTGAGGACATTTTTGCCCTTGAAAGAATGGCACTTATTGCTGCTCGTAAGGGTTCACTTTTCTTCACTCGTTGTTTGTGTGTGTGTGTGTGTGTCTGTGTGTGTGTGTGTGTGTGTGTGTTTGTACAATAGGACGTCTAGTATTGGTCCTAGCTTTTCATTTTCTTTGAGACAGAGTCTCTCATTGTTCTGTACTGTGTACACCAGGCTACCTGGCCTACAAACTTCAAGGAATCTCCTGTCTCTGTCTCCCATCTTCCCTTAAGAGCACAGGTATTACAGCCATGTGCTTCTGTATCTGGCATTTATATGGGTTCTGGGGATCTGAACTCAGATTCACACTCAGTGTGGCAAGCACTTTAACCACTGAACCATCTGCCTAGCTCCTCCGAGCTATTCTTACAGATGGAGATAAGCTGGTCTGGGCTTGGGGCTTCCATACTCATTAAAAAGAAGTATTTTCTACAAACTGATGGGAGGGAGTGGTCTGGACAGTCCTAGAAGAGCAGGTGACTCTGGGGTTGTGACATCTCTCTAGGGCTGGATTCAGCATCTGTAAATTCTGTGAGCACTGTTCTTTATGTCCTCCCTGAGGACCCAGTCATGATGGCCCACACCCTGTGTGTATGACCCTCAAACTTTTTGCTGTCCACAGTTCCATTCTGAACCTGCCCGGAGAGTCGACACTTCGTCGGGACTTCCTGAGACTGCAGCTGGCCAACAAGGAGCGATCCGAGGCCCTGCGGCGACAGCAGCTGGAGCAGCAGCAACGAGAGAACGAGGAGCACAAGCGGCAGCTGCTGGCTGAGCGCCAGAAGCGCATCGAGGAGCAGAAGGAGCAGAGGCGGCGGCTGGAGGAGGTGAGGACCAAGGGGTGCAGCAGCCACCTCGAGGCTGAGGCCACCACCTATTGGCTCCCCAAACACCTTATAAACATGACTTACCTCCTTCCTGGAATGCCAGCCAGGGCCTCCTACCCTCCAAATTACACTTACACAATCATCGTCTTGACAGTGCTTGCCTTATTAAGATAGCATCCCTTCCCTTCTAGCATGTTCTACAGCACTTCTCTGCATTAGTCCTTTTACAGGGCTCTGAACAACCTAATACATTCTGTACATGGCTGCAGCTTCTCACTGGGGTGGATGCTGTCTGTCTGTGAGGATACAGGATTTCCTTTGTTCCTCGGCTCTGCTCTAGTGTCTAGGACAGCTCGTAACACATAGCAGACACCTTGGAAATATTTGTGGAATGGGTAAATTGATATGAAAATGAGTGAGCCAAGGATTAAGAGGTGAAATGAAGCATTAACCAGACCACAGCGAACAGGCAGGTAATGGAAGTGACAAGTCTGGAGAAGCAGGGCCTGCCTGTTGCTCTTTTCTGAACACTGGGAGCCATGTTCTCTGCCAGTCCTCCCCACCCAAGGCTTGTCCTGCAGTTGCTGAAGAGGACCTTCCTTCAGCAGCAGACACTGTTGTTGTCTGGGTGGGAAACCCCACAGCCAGCCTGGTTTCCTGCATGACATGTCCCACATGAGGGTCTCATCTTGTGTGCTGTATCTCTGTTTAAGCATCCTTCTCAAAGCCTCACCCACATCTCCAGGCATCTTTTTCTTTTAACAGATAAATCAGAGCCTCTAGGCCATTAGAAAACCAGGAGCGCTTAGTGACTGGGGAATCAGGACAGCAAATGTCCTGGTACGGGGACAGGACAGTAACTTTATATGTCTCCCATACTCCAGCCTGATTCTCACTCTTGAAATCACTGATTCATTTGTTCTTTGAGGTGGCCTCTGCAGAGCGAGACGGTGGAAAGCCACGGGAGCCTCTTGCTTCTTAAATGGTCCATCGTGGTACAGACTCCCTGGTTTAAATTTGTGAGGGCCTCAGGTCAACTTTGCAGTAAATCCCAGCAGCCTCAGGACTGCAGGATATTGGTTTCAGACCAGTGACAGTAATCCCCTACAATAATAAGCGTGTGTCTATTGAGTGACTCCCATGTCCCAGATACCTGGCAGGGTGTTGTTTATTCCCAGAACTTCATTATCATTGTCATTTTCTCTCATGCAGAGTTCATGAAACCCCACCACCACCATTTAACAAGGAGGTCATTGAGAAATGAGTATGAGCCAAATACAGGGTACATGTCTATAAAATTGTATCATCAAAGTCATTATTCGGTGTGCAGTATTTTAAAAGTCTTTAAAAATTGAAAAGAAATGGAAAGCAAGAAGGAACTGGAATTCAAGGTGGGGGAGGGGGCAACTCCCAAGCAAGTTCCATCCTGGTCTCTTGGATCCCAGTGTCCATGTGAGTGTTCACTGAGACCGTCAAAGGTGCAGGTGGTGATCAGAGCTTTGAACTCTGGTCCTCCAAAGTCAACCTTGAAGCGTCTGCGAGCAGAACATAAAGCACTTTCCAACTGAAGTGTATGTTGAGGACACTCAATGTAAAGAACACCCATCACGTGAGTGGTTTAGAGTCCACCTGCTATTTTGCACTCTGAGTGGGGAGGATGGAGGCTGATGGTGCTATAGGGCAAAACCTTAGAAGCAGACAAAGCAGTAAAGCGGGGTGGAGATAGGCATGCCTCAGGCAGCTCTCAGGAGTGATGCATAGGGCAGCAGGTGTTCCACGACCTCTGCTACCTGCACAGAGGGAGATCTTCAGGCATGCTCCAGGCGCTGTGAGCCACTGTCACCCCCTTTACCCCATTTAAGCCACATATGGCTTTTCTACTGGCCCTCAGCCAGGGGCCACCATTTGCTTTAATCTCTCAGACTTCTAGAAGGCCACCAATTCTGTTCTTTGGACCTACTCCTTAAGGCTGGGATCAAACCCTGTCCTGAACCACACCCCAAAGCCTGCTTGGCCTGTTCGGCCTGTTTGGTCTGCTTGGCTTGCTTCTCTCTGGTGGTGAGACATTCCCAGGACCCCACTTTCTGAGGCATCCCAGCCTGGAAATCTTCACTGCTTTTGCTCTGTTCAGTTATTGACACATTATGCTTGGTTATAGACTAACGACATTGACCATGTAGCTCTAGCAAATTCACACTACCAAGCCCACAAAATATTTTAAATTCTCAAGAATGTAAGCATGTATACATAGGAGATGTAAGTCTCCATGAATTTCTTTTTTCCTTTTTATTAAATTATTGTGTGTGTGTTTATGTGTGTGCATGTGTGCATGTTCAAGTGGGGAGGTTCACATGCTTATGTGTACATGTCCACCTGTGTAGAAGACAACCTCAGATAATCAACCTCAGATAATCATTGCTCAGGTGTTGTCCATCCAACATCTCTCACTGGACAGAAGAGTGCCAAGTGGGCTAGGCTAGCTGGCCAGCAAGCCCTGGGGATCTTCCTGTCTCCCCCTTCCCAATGCTGTGGTACAAGTATGAACCAGCACACCCAGATTTTCTTATGTGAGTTCTGGGGATCAAACTCAGGTCCTTATGCTGCACAGTGAGCACTTTACTGACTATGCTCTGTCGCCAGCCCCAGCTGTTTTGCTGTGCATACAGACTCTTAGTCATTGGACCTTGGTTCTCGATCAGTACAAAGTCTTCTCAGAGGGAACATTGCTCTGCTTTGGTTTTGTCTTTTGGATTTCCTTCTCTTGCGTCTGATATGAGTTATCTGAGCTTCCTACATTTGTTTACCTAGAGTGATAATTTCCAGTGATTATGAAGCACTGACAGAAACTGTCCAGTGTACTGCATGAACTGTAATCCTCACAATAATCCCTGGGCTAGATTTGCAGTAAAAATCTAGGAAGAACAAGTAGTTGGTTCTCTAGCTGCTGTGAGTAAATACCTAACAAGAAGAACTTATGGGAAGTAGGGTTTATTTTGGCTCACAGTTTGAAAGGATACAGTCATTGTGGGGGGAAGACATGACAGCAGGTGCTCCACAGCGACAGGCCTGTGCAGGCAGGACTCCCCTCCTTACTTCCTGGTAGAATGGGAAACAGAGAACAGATAGGAAATGGGGCCAGGATATAAAACCTCTAGGCCTGTAGCCAATGACCCACTTTCTCCAGTGAAGTGCCTCGTCCTACAGCTTTCCAAAACAGCACTGCCAGTTGGGAACTAAGTGTGTAAACACAAGAGACACTAAGGGACATTTCACACTCACCCCACAGCAAGATGCTACACAGCTCAAGAAGAAACCATGTTTCAACTTCAAGGTCTTAGACTGCAAGGTAGTCTACAGAGTCAAAGAAGTTGCATGTGACTGCCTGTGGCATGCTTTTCCTGTGGCATGTATCTCTGTGGTGGTCTTTTACCCTACATGGTTGAGGATGTCTGAGCCATGGCAGAGAAGTTGTAGCCAGCAGGTGCTCAGCTTTGAGTTGGGCTCTCCTTCTCACACCTGGTCAGAGCTACTGAGAGGCCTCCTCTGTGTCCTTTTTCAGAGATATTTGTGGGAACATCTCCCATGGATGTGAGCTAGAATTCAACTTAGTAACGTAGCGTCTACAGAGACACACCCTGAAGTCCGTGACTTGCATGCAAGGTGTCTGCACACATGAAGACATGAGCCTTCTGCTCTTTGTCACTGTCAGCATGAAACCTGGCTTCTAGAAGAATCAGGAACACATATGGATGTAGTCAGTTATACTGGCTTTATCTTTTGGTTCTTTATTTTGCCTTAGCAGGTGTGTCTAATCTGAAGCCCACAGGCCACATGTGGCCACATGCAGCCCAGGACAGTTATGAATGTGGCCCAACATAAAATCATAAACTTACTTAAAACATGATGAGATTTTGTGGAATTTCTTTGTGACTCAGCTATCTGGGTTCTCAAGAGTGAACTCTGTAGATGACAATGTTGTATCCCAGTGTCAAAAGATTGGACATATCTATTAGAGCTTAATAGAGAAGAAGACGAATTTCTAAGTACTCAGTTGGTTATAAGTTCTAAACCTGAATAACCACAGTCCCTGCCACCTGGGGACTTCCCTCCTGTCCTCTGTCTCTGCTGTGTCCTCATTTCTCTCCTGCCACTCTAGTCCATAGTGACCACTGTATCTCTGGTGGCTAGAACAGGAACTTGGGCTGCATGGCACATTGAAACTGTTAAAGTCTGTAGTTCTCCTGGAGAATTGATCAGATGGGTTTTTGTGGGTATTCTGACAGTTATAGTCCCAATTCTGAATAAAGGCCTCCTAGCCACCCATCCGGTAACACAGAGCTCTGGGCTGGAGCCTTCATATTTGCTGATCTCAGGCATTATCTCCTACCAGAGGTTTCTAAGGTCTGTTCCCTTTGTTATTTGCAGGTGCCTGTGCAGATATGGCTAGATCTAGTCTGTCCATGCATTCTTAGAAGGACTTTGAATATAATCTGGATGTAGTCATGGATCTGCTTAGGCAGAGGACATGGCCTAAGGGTGATTAAATGGTGGTGACTAGACTCTAGTCTTGACCACTGATAAACTACAATGTATTTCTAAGTTCCAGGAACTTGCTGAAACTCAGCTAAGGTGAACAAGTTCATCATTAATGACAAAAGTACACATAGGACCTCTCCTATTTTTATTCAGCCCAACAAGAATTTCTGCCACTCAGCTGGAACAAGTTCAACCTGTCACATACTACACCACAGTTCCGTTGGCAGAATGGGCCCCTGGAGGTGCCATGGGTCCTGCTTTGGTAACAGACCAATTTGGGGCAGATCCCTGATGATGAATTAATTTGTGTAAGACTTTTGGGTAATATCAGTGGTTTATATATTTGTTTCAACTTTGCTCAGATCATTTTATAACTTCATTCTAGTAGGAATACTTTTAAGTCCCAAGAATGGACCAAATTGACCCCAGGAACTGTCGCCTTCAACCCTACCCCAGCCTTTGCT